AACTTCTCTACGAGGACATCGCTTTGGGGGTGCAAAGGGGTGGTTCTTGTTTTGTGTATCCCCAATTTGTCGCACATTACTGAGAAGACATGTGACTTGAAGTTCCGACCTTGGTCACTGTGTATGAATTCTGCAACCCCAAACCTGCAGAACATGCTGTAAGCTTCTGGCCATTTAGTGAAATAATCCGTAGCCGTCAGCACAAACCTGTTACCCCTCTCTGAACATGGAAAAGGACATATGTCCACCCCCGCCCTCCCCATTGGGCCCCCTACGGGGAACTGTTGAAGGGGAGCGAGGGACCGGCCATGTGGCCCCTTGCGAGCAGTGCAATCATCACACCGCCGACAAAAATCCTCCACATCTCTTCTCACGAGCCCCCAATAAAAACTCTAAGTGTCCAGAGTGTCCAGAACCCACTGTCCCATGGGCATCCCTGATAACCCCCTCACGCAGTGACCTGGGCACCCCCACCTGCCACATCCCCTCCCCAGTGGCGGGGTCCTTCCACTCCCTCTGCAACACCCCATCTCGCAAACGCAGGTCCTTAAATTTGGCCCATAAGTTTTTTATGGACAGCGAGGCAATGGCCACTTCCTCCCACTGAGGTCGCTGCTGAGCTTGGACCCACTGGATTACTGACTGCAGGTCTGCATCTTCCTCTTGCAGCCGCCTCCAGTCCGCTATACCCACTGTCTCAACCACCAAACACACTGGTGTATCGCCATGCTTACAACCCAAGGAAGCACCACTGGCATCCGGGTTTTCCAGCTCTCTGTCCCTGGCCTCCCTCTTGTCGCAGTACCGACACCCGTCGGCTGAGCAAGGCCGACGAGAAAGAGTGTCTGCATTTGCATGCCCTGACCCTGCACGGTGTACTACCTTCATGTTGTAAGCCTGAAGTTCCTCAATCCAGCGTGCCAACTGGCCCTCCGGCTCTTTGAATGACATTAGCCACTGGAGAGCTGAATGATCAGTGCGTACAGTGAAAGGTAGCCCACACAGGTAATACTTAGTGTTGACAGTTCCCACCTGAGAGAGAACAGCTCCCAAACCCACACTGCTGGCGTCCGTGTCCAAAATGAAGGGAAGAGCTGGATCAGGGGGAGTCACTATAGGGGCAGTGACCAGAGCCTGTTTCAGGGCAGCAAAAGAGTTTTGACACTCCCCAGTCCACGCGAAGGACTTGTCCTTCTTCAGCAGGTGGAACAGTGGGTCTGCAATGGTAGAAAAACCCTGCATGAACCTCCTGTAATATGAGGCTAACCCTAAAAAACTTTTGAGCTGCTGCGAAGTTGTAGGGGTGGGCCACTCACTCACCGCCTGCACTGTCTCTTCCATTGTGCCAATCCCCTGCCCCCCAAGCTTGTGCCCCATGAACGTCACCTCCCTCCTAAAAAAATGACATTTCTCTGGGTGCAGCTTCAAGCCAGCCTCACTCACTCGACCCAGCACACACCTGAGAGCCTCTAGAGAGGCCTGAAAAGAGCCACCATGGACCAGGATGTCATCCAGATACACCAGACACTCTGACCGTGGAATAACCGATAACACCCTGTCCATTAGCCTGGCAAAGGTAGCCGCCACATTACAGAGACCGAAGCAGAGCACCCTGAACTGCCATAACCCCCTACTTGTACAAAAAGCGGTCTTTGGTCTGGCATTGGGAGCAAGTGGCACCTGCCAATAGCCAGTGCGCAGGTCCAGGGAAGTGAACCATGATCCAGCTATGAGGTCCAGTGACTCATCCACCCGAGGGATGGGATATGAGTCCTTCCTAGTGACCTCATTAAGGCGCCTATAGTCAACACAAAATCTTCACTGACACCCCTTCTTAGGTACCATGACCACCGGTGCTGCCCATGCACTCTCAGACGGCTCAATAATACCCGCTCGTTGCATGTCCAACAAGGCCTTATCAGCAGCATCCTGGCGGGCAAAAGGGAGCCTCCAGGACCGCAACCTAATGGCCATGGCATCACCCGTCTCAATTTCGTGCTGCACCAGATGTGTTCGCCCCACATCCCCATCCCCAAATGTGAAACAAAGTTGGAAATCAACTAACAAATCCAAAAACTGCTCTTGCTGACTCTCATCCAAGCCCTCCCGATTCTTCAACCACATCTCCCTCAAAGCAACCGACCCCCTCCTCTCCCCAAGAGGTGGAAACAAAGCCCTGTTCCCCTGTCCATACCTGCCAGGGAGACTCGATACTGGCTCTGAACAGGGCTGTGTGGCCACCCCCGGGCAGAGGTCAGTTAGGGAGTGGGTCAAGGGAGTGGGAGAATCTACCTGAGGTGAACTGGCGTCAGCACTTGGGCAGGATTGCAAATGCAATGTGTGGCGCTCCCCCCTAGAGTCCCCAGGAGCAGCTGCTGCATCTAACAGACCTGTAGAAGACATATCAGCATTATGTTCAGTGGACATGACAACCTCAGAACCCCCTTCCAAACGGAGCAGGCCACCCCTTAAGTCTAACTGGCAACCTGCACTTTTAAGGAAATCCAGACCGAGAATACAGGGGTCCTGGACTGTAGCCACCCACACTGAATGGCACAATGTCTTTCCCCCTACAGTCAGCCCCACCTCTCCTTTACCCTTCATTGGTGCCAGTTCACCCATCACTGTGCGTAGTCGGACAGTGGTGGGTTCCAACTTGGCATTCGCTGGAACTACATCTGGTCTTATCACTGTCACAGTCGATCCCGATCACCAATGCTAAACACGGAACCCCCTCCACCAAAATAGGTACATGACAAAAATCACTAACACATGTTCGTCCCACCATGACCACAGACTCATTTGGCCCCCAATCTCCCTCCCCCAACAGTCCATGATTGTCTTCCCTTAGTCCATCTCTTGAGACTTCTGCAGACAATGCCTCATGGTGGGGATGAGCGTTGCGGGTCCGCACATCCCCAATAATGCGGACCCCATCCCGTTTCCCTGGTTCCCAGCTAACTTAGGACACTGGCGAACTAAATGTCCAACCTGCCCGCAACCCCAACAAACCCTTGGTCGAGCACGAAGTTGCTGGTCATGTTGCAGTGCCACAGCACGAATCAATTCAGGAATCTCTGAAACCCAGGCTGGTCTTTCAGTTTGCCCCTCCCCCACATCAGTAGACCTAATTGGCACAGTATCTCGTTGTCTCTCGTCCTGCAAGTAAGTTCCACATACAGTCTCCCTCTCCAACGCCATCTCCAAGGCATCCTGCAAGGTTTGAGGGTGGGCAAGCTGTGTCTGCCTTCGAAGCTCCACAGGAGTAAGGGCCTGGATGAATTGGTCTCTCGCAAGCTCCCCTTGAACAGATGGTGGCATGTGGGCATATGCTTGCTGAGTCAAATTTTCAATGTCATTTGCCAGGGCTCTCCTGGCTGCCTGCGTCTACTATTCAGTTCAGAACGCAGGAGCCCTGGCTGTTCAAATTGACCAAAGCGTTGTCTCAGTGCCCCGACAAGTGCCTTATAATCATGTCTATCTTCAGGGCTAAGCAGTAACAAACAGTTCAGAGCATCATCTGTAAGGCACATAGCCAATTCAAGAGCTTTGCGGTCCTCTGACCAGTTCCCAGCACGAAGGCAACAGTTCAAACTGTGCATGAAAAGCTTCCCAATCAGCTTTACCTGAAAATTTGGGGGTTTTAACAGTCACTGCGGCAGCGCGGACGCCACCATATTCAGTCACACCCGTCAACAGCGTGACTCCATGGGTGCCGCCATGTTTGTTTACATCCGAAGACAGCGCGGTTCAGTGGGCGCCGCCATGTTTGTTGGTTGTCCTCACGAAACTTCGGCGGCTATCGGCGACACTCAGATCTTGCAGCGAAAGCCCGGCATCTGCAGCCATCCTCCTCGTAGCCTCCCTCACACGAGCCTTGTGTGGTTCCAGACATCCTTTATCCGTTGCAAATCAATCGGAAACCCACGCCGAAGCGCCCAGGGCCTCCCGAAACATTAGGCTCGTGTCCGGCTCGGATTTAATCTCTTCTTGAGTCTGCTTCTGCATCGTGTTGCCGGGACGATAATGTCAGCAATCCCGTAGACCAACTGGATTAGTTCACTTCTGACACCAGTGTAGCGATCCAGATAAGTGAAAAGACTCACTTGCCGGTTTTGCCGTTTCTTTTTATTCACGTAATCGCTCGTGAAAACCCAACTTGGGCTCCACTTCCAAAACAAACAAAAAAGACTGGAAAAAATCCCACTTCTCACACTTTTTTCCTCAAAAAACCCCACCCACGCACAAGTGCGCAGACTCGTTCTTCAGAAGAACACATACCACATGAACAGAACATACATGGCTTAACTCACACCTGACAGAACATAACACACTTCTCAGACTTGCTACAGAATGATTTCTTTGGCTCAGTTGAATGAAGAGGTCAGTTTCACATTAGAGGCGTTTCTGGCCTGCAACGGTGGTGTGTGTGTGTGTGTGTGTGTGTGTGTGTGTATAAAATGGTTAATTTTATTAATGTTTGATATGTGAATGTTTGAGTAATGTTTGAACATAGAGGGGCGTAGACCTTTTACCTGAAGAGGTCATATAGATTAATGGTTTAGAGTGTGTTGTTACACCTGGTACGATTCTTAAACAAATCTGATTAATATCCATATTGTATTTGAAATAATTCACACATGGACCCCAGCAGGTGAACAGCTCTCTTTACTGGGGTTCTTATTGTTTCATGTGACACTGTTACAAACCTTTCATCTATTTTTCTCCTATACACCTTCTATTTTATTTCTTTTTGTTAATAAAAGAATCATTAAAAATCATAATTTTGTACTTACCTATACTTACCTTGAGTAGCGAGATTCCTTAACGCAGGTCTGACGCCGGTGTTCATCCTGCCTGTAACACAGAAGGATAATTTACTGTATCAGACTGTCACAGTTTACATCTAAAGCAAAAGTAAATAATAGCTTAGCTCGTAAGTAAATTAAATACTAGAAGGAAGTAGGGTTTTAATATTTTAATTGAGAGACACTTTAGGGTCCCTGGAGGACTAGTGGTTAGGCCACAGCGCTCTCACTGCTGCGGTCCAGGGTCGATTCCTGGCCAGGGAACCAGCACCAACACCAACCACTGGGGTTATGTGCAACAGTGCGCTCTCAGTGCCAGTCCCAAGCCCGGATAAAATTGGGGAGGGTTGCGTCAGGAAGAGCATCCTGCGTAAAAACCGTGGCAAATCAAATACATGGACCAATGATCTGCTGTGGCGACCCCTTACAGGAACAGCCGGAGGAGGAACAACAACAGAGAGACACATTACCTGGACCTGTTGCTCCAACCTGAAAATACTTGGTAAAGGTGAATTCTAGGAGGGTAGAGGGCACTATATTCATTTAGGGTCCTGTGAAAGCCAGTACAGAACCTTACCTAGTCTTTTCTGATGATGTGATGCGTTTGTCTTGCCATTAATTTTTTTACCAAACTTCTTGTCACCCCCCCCCCCCCCCCCCCCCCCCCCCCCCCCCCATAACTCTACCATGCAGCCCAGTTTTGTTCAAGCATCTCCTTTTACATTTTTAACCTTCATCAAATCTTTATATACTCTCGTATTTTGGACCTGTTATTTGTGTAATTTCAGTTATTATTATGATTAATATATTATAATACATGGAAATGTATGTGGTGGTAAATAACTTTATCTGAGCACTATTACTAAATAAAAGAGATGTGTAAGCTAAACATCTTCTAAACTGCCAGCAGTATGTAAACGCATGAGGAAACCGTATATATCAGTGTTCATTTTATGTATTATGATGGTAAAGAGGAAAAGTGCTTCATCAGCTGTGCAAGCAGAGGGCTTCTGAGGCTGTGGTAATAACACTAGGTATTTGAAGTATAATGTGTATACACACACAGCATAAGGCCAAAAGTAAG